ACATTTGGTTGTCAGGGAGTTGGCTAAAAATGTCACTCTTTGGTTATCTTCAGAAAAGATACAAGGTAACTGGTCACAAATGTGACAACCATTACGATCTGCATTTTCCTTAACTTTGACATATATATTTTCTCATAATCTTATTTGTCTTTTCTAAGGAGGTAAAGTACCATACAAGAAAGGACACACTAGGTACAGATGACCAGTATCTAGCTCTGGCTGCAATACTAAGTAATTTTAATGAGTTTAAGCAAATCATTTAACATTTTTCAGCCTAGTCACTGTCATCAGTAAAATGAGGAAACAAATCTGAGTTTTCCACATGCCTCATGGTAAAAATCAAACACAATATAGAAAGGTACTCTGGGAACTGTAAAGCACTATACAAGAAAATATGTAATCCTTACATCTAGTATTAAAGAATAAGTAACAGAAAAGTCCTATTCATTCATTCATTCATTCAAGCATGCATGAACTCATGTAATGGATATTTAGTGCACACCAACTGTTTGCCAGGCACTATTCTAGAAACTGGTAACACAGCTAATGAAACAAAACACATTATGAATAAAACACAAAAATTCCTGTATTCTTAGACTTTATATTCTAGTGGGAAAATATAGACAATAAACAAACTGTGAGTAAAAAAATAGAATATATTAGTGATGAGTGCTGTGAGGAAAAAGTAAGCATGGAAGTCTAAGAAGAGATAGGTAGGAAGGGCAAATTAGAGTTTTAATTAGGTTGGCCAGAGAAGACCTTCTGAGATAACAATTGTGCAAAGGAAATTGTACAAACTCCAAGTAAGCTGGAAAACCAGTGAAAGATTCTGAGTACAGAAATTTTAAAAGAATTCCTCATATGTATTATTAAGAATAGACTTCATTGGGAAAGGTTATAAGCATGTGGAGACTTGTTTCAAGGCTATTGCAATAATCCAGGTGAACATATTGGTGGTGGTGGTAACAGGTAGTCAGATGCTAGATATATTTGAAGGCATAGCCAAAAGGATCTTCTAATTAGTTTGGGAGGTGAGAAAAATGAAGAAATTGAAGATGCTAATATTTTGCTCTAAGTGAAAGGATGAATGGAGAATTCTTCAGGGAGAACATGTTTTGGAGGCAAGATCATAATTTGGATTTTTTCAACATGTTAGGTTTGAGATGCTGATTTGACAACTAAGTGGAGGTATTCAGTAGGCATTTGGTTATAGAGTCAGAGATATAAATGCAGGCTAGAAAGATAAATAAAGGAATCATCAGTCTAAAGGTGGTATTAAAAGTGAGGAGACAGAATGAGATAATCAATGTAGTGAATATTTTAAAAGAAAGAGACAGATTGGATGGTGGGAAGAGAGAGATTTGGGCTCCCGGCACTGTAATATTTAGGGGTGAGATGAGGATTAATCGACAAAGAAACCATGAAAGAGCAAGGAGATGCCAATGAGGTAAGAAGAAAATTTCATACCTTACTGGCTTCTCCTTCTTGCTCAGTTACTGGGTACAGGCTAGCTAGTGGGGATAAAAGACCTGGCTCCCTACTTGGTCTTCTGAAACCAGACCATTAGGAGTGTTGGAACATCTCATCCCATTACAGGGTGGAAGTCTAGGTTTCCCACTTGCTTTTGTAGGAGTCCATGGGGATGGGGTCACTTTTTTTTTTTTTCGTAGTGTTCGGTTGGAGTAGAGCAGTTATGGTCTAAAAGTTTTCTGCCTTACAAAGTTGCCCCTTTCCTGGCTCTTTGGCTAGAGAGAGCAAGCTTTCATTGGTGCTTTTGTGTGAGCATTCCTGTTATGTTTGTTTTAACGTACAGCTTTTTAATTTAGATGAATGATTATAAAATATAAGTATTAAAATTCATAAATTAAAAAAATAAATCATATCTTTTGGTAATACTTACATTCCATTTTTATATAAGCACAAAGAGGATAATATTAAAAAGCAAAGGAATAGCATTATTCTTTTGGAGACAGGGTTCACTCTGTTGCTCAGGCTGGTCTCAAACTCCTGGCCTCAAGTGATCCTCCTGCCTTGGCCCCCCAAAGTGTTAAGAATAAAGGCTTGAGTCATGGTGCCCAGCCAGGCATACCATTCTTTAACTGCACTGAGGATGACTTTCACCCATAGCTCCATATTTCCCCTTTGGGAATAAACCTCACTGTTCTAGGCAATCCATGTGTATTACATAGAGTTTTCAAACTGATATACACCCAGAGCAACAAACCTGATCTTATAAAGTGAGATTATTACTTTAACATCAATTTAAAGCTTTCATTTTATTTTTCCACTAATACTTGCTCATTATAGAAAACCTGCAATATACAAAAGGGCCAAGAAAAAAATATAATCACCATTAATATTTCAGTATATTTTCTTCTATTCTTTATAAAGGTAAGGTTAGTATAAGTGTACATAATCACTACTAAAAGCAATGATGCTTCATGCTTTTTCCCTGTAACATAGATTGTGAATAGTTATCCAGATTATTAATTATTTAAAAAATAGTTTTTATGGGTTACACAATTTGCCACTGAATGGATTTGCTCTAATTTACTTAACCATGACCCAGCGGTTGGAATTCAGTGGGTTTTCCCCCACATTGTTCTCTACTGAATAAATAATGCCTAGGATAATCCTCTTTATACCTTAACTACATTGCTAATTCTTTTCTTAAGATATGTTAGTAGAAGATGAATTACTGTATTTAAGTGGTAGATAATTTAAAGATATTGTTAATGGACTGAATTATATCTGCACAAAACACATATGTTGAAGTTCTAATCCCTAGTACCTCAAAATGTGACTGGAGACAGAGTCTTTTACGATGCAATTAAAATAAAGTCATTAGGGTGAGTCATAATCCAGTATAGCTGGTGTCCTTATAAGAAAAGGAAATTTGGACACAAGCACATACAGAGGGATGATCATGTGAAGACTCAGGGAGAAGATGCCATCTACAAGCCAAGGAGAGAGGCCTTGGGAAATGAAACCTACCGACATCTTGATATCATACTCCTATCCTCCAAAACTGTGAGAAAATAAATTTCTGTTGTTTAAGCCACTAGTTTGTATATCTTGTTACAGGAACCCTAGCAAACTAACAAGTTAATAAGTATTAATGAACATTGTGAAAGATGTTGTCAAATTGCTTTTCTAAAAATTTGTGCCAATGTATATTTGATGGAGAAAGCTGTTTACACTGAACCTTGATCAGTTATTAAAAAAAAAATGATAAAATAAGAAACTCAATTTATAGGATCACATTATGAAATAAAATGCTAATTTCCATAAAATAATAACAACAGCAATAACAACAGAGAAATCCTCTATTTCTAGATTAAATCCTGATCATGAATAGTTTGATCACTTATAAATGAGAAACCTTAGGGAAGTCACCTAATGTCTCTGGATCCTAGTTCTCACATTTTAAAATGAAAGATTGAGACTTGATACTCTTCAAGGGCTTTCTAAGTTTCAAAATTATATAATTCTTTTCACAATGCCCTTTAAATGTTCACATCATTATACAGGATCATGCCTTATAATAGCCCATTCCTTGATCTAATTTGGACCACACTGATGTCCTTCCAGAGACCTCTATGACAAGCATTCTGGTAGAAAGCAAAACTCACAAAACTGGAGCAAGGAAAACTGAATTTCAAATTCAGGTCTGTTTTAAGTGGCTAAGTGATCTTTTCATGTCATATTGTCTCTCAGTGTTTATATTTCTTTTTTTCATTCAAAACACTTTGCTGGGTGGCTGATGAAAGAAAAATTAAAACTTAGATAAACACAAACACACATGAGCATACATCTTCAATTGCCATCCTCAAAAAGTTCATAATATAGGCACAAAGAAAGAAGCACATAAAAACAAACTACAATAATACATACGATAATAAGGTATATATAAAGTTCCAAAAGAGCTGTTAAGCTAATACTATTGTCTCACTAATTAATTTGGGAATATTAATTTTGTAGAAATAAATTTTGAGAAATCAGGTAAACAGAAATTTCTCCTCAAATTTAAAAATTTATACACCCTAAGATGACATTTTAAATATGACCTTTAAGGTTATATTTATATCCCATTTATGGTCTCACAGTCACAGCGTTGTAATTATCTCACAGGCTCAGTTAAGTAACGTTCTAGCAATAATCTCAGAGAAATATTGTTTTGTTCCTGTACTTCCCTGGAAATATTAGATGTTCATTAAGAAAAATATTTTGGCACCAAACTAAGAAGGATCACTTGAGTCCAGGAGTTTGAGGTTGCACTGAGCTATGATGACACCACCACACTCTAGCCTGGGCAACAGCACAAGACCCATAAAAAAACAAACAAAGTGTGTATGTAAACTTTTTCTTCTTTTCTAAAAAATATTTATCTTAATCACATTTGAGACATCACAATACTCAGGGTTTTAGAAATGATTTGTATATATGTCTACATGCCCATTTTCTAATGGAAAAAACAAAATTTACGAAATGTATCATTATATTAAGATTGCTAAAATCCTCTTAATATTTTGCTAGGAAGAGTTTGTCTCCAAAATGTAAATTAACACAATTCCTTTTACTATTTACACTTGCCACTTGAACAAATAGAGACTTTTCTTAAAATTTGGCAGATTGGAGTTTATGATACACTGTCTATTTAATGTAACGACAAAAAATAATACAACTTTACAGGTTTTATACCTCTTATCCAAAATGCTTGGGACCACAAGTATTTTGGATTTCAGTATACTTAAAAATTGAGCATCCTATTTTCAGATGTGGGATGCTCAACCTGTTTATAATTTTTAAGTATTTCAGAATATTGTTAAAGCAATAAAATTAAAAACACTTTTCAGTTTAGTCAAATATCAAAACATGAAAAAAATCACAGGTGTACTTTAATAAACTTAACTGTATTTCTAAGTATAAGTAAAATCTTGTCTTACAATGTGTGGAAAGAAATCATTTTCGGCATGAAATCACATATCAGTGGTACTTACAAAGCAGTTCTTATCAGGATTTCTTTTCCAGTGTTTCTTGTCTACTTTCTTGGCCGAAGTGGAACGTAGAATTGCATGACTTTGTGTGCGAGGATTTAAAGCCAGGATGCTCTGAAGACAGCATAAACAATGTATAAACATATGTAAATATGTTGGCATTAAAATAATCAAAATTTTATTTAGGATTCCCTCCATACTCCCCTAAATAAAAGCTTAGCTAGGAAAGAAAGCCCTTATAAAATATGAGAGAAAAGAAAATTACATGTGATCTAAACAAATCAAAAGAATGACCCAAAGTTTGCAAGATAGTGTTTAAGAAAACTAAGTGAGAAATCCTATATTCGGTTTAAAAAAAAAAATTCACTATGGGAAGATCCCAATACAACAAAAATTCATATGGAAAAGTTCTAACTCTTTCTAATGAGTCATTTTTTTTTAGGAAAAAATATATAAACAAGAAACAATTTTAATGGTATGAATTGACAAAAATCTAAAATGTACATCTAAAATGTTATGTGGTTCCTCAAATTTACCTTTGCTTATATTAATAGACTAATACTGGACAAAATATGAATGGAGTAATCCCTATTATATTTTCAATTTTACTAATTTATCAAAAGCAATTCTTGGTAAAAAAAAAAAATCTTCAGGAAAAACAAACAAATAAACATCAACAACAACAACAAACTGTACTTTCACCATAGAGGAGGAACCCATGGTGGCAAACAATCCTCTTTAATTCAGTTAACATTTTTTCCAGCATCTTACAACAATGTTTATATATCGTAAAGCAATATGTAATATCTGAAGAAAAACCAAGAGAAAAGATTTAGGAGAGACAAGGTTTTCAGTAAGTTAAGAGCTTCACATGGAAGACATTTAATTTATTTTGTATTAGTAAAGAATGCAGAACCAAGATTGTAGAAATGGAGGAAAACTTGGATTCAGATACCAATTAAAAAGGGGAAGCTGAGATTGTATTAGAAGTCACTCTAGTCAATATTATTGCAGTTATTTTAGAAGATATTCATCTCAAAAGTCTTCCTCTTCCAGGAAGATTCCCCAGACTAATCTAGATCGGTCTTTTTCATCTTAGACAATGCAAAAATCTCTACCTAAGTATACCAATCTAAACAGTAACTGCTGCTTTAAGAATTTTTCTTCCCTCCTAAAATGTGAATTCTTTGAGTTGAGGAATTAAAGATTTCTTTTTAATCTTTGAATGTCTGATAGGCAGCACCAAGTAGGTAACACATGCTCATGCCTGTGAAACAGTGGTTCAAAAATCATGAATTTGGTTTTTAATTCATACTAGTCATATAACTTTGAGTAAACCAGTTATCTTTTTTAATCTTTGGTTTTCTCATATGTAAAATGGGGCAACACCTGAACTAGAAAACTGTGGTAAAGAATAAATGAAATGCATGGTACATATTTTCTAAACCAAAAACAACCTAAAAATTAAAGTGGAGTGAAAATGGAATTTAGAGCCTATGTTTAATAATAGTTGTCCACCCACGATTTGTTCATGCAGGGGCTGGGTAGAAATTTCACAGGAGTCCTGAGAATGAAATTCCTACTAGATTTGACCAACTCCAAAATTACCTTCCAAATCCAGATTCTATGATTCTTTGAAAATTACTGGGTCACATTCATCTTTTTCACAGATGAAAATGAACCCTTATTGTGATTCATAGGAAACTAACAAAAAAAACAAAATAAATAACTAGATAAGACAATTTAGTATACGACTAGACATATATTAAAAATATTGTTTTCCCTTCCACTGTTGTAATTCTACAATAAACTTCTCTAAAGTAATCATTTGCTAGGTGATATCCTAGCTGATTTTATAAGAATATTTATTACATGATAATATGAAGGATTTAAAAATCATGGAACTATAACAAATGACTCTCTAAGATAAATTTTATATTTAATATTCTTAGATAAGAATAAAATCAGAAAAGAGGCACTTCATTTCATTCTGCATTTGATTTAAAGTGGTAATAACAATACTCTCCATTTTAAGGTTTTAGAGTTTAAAAGTTTAATAGCTTTCACATGGGTTGTCTAATTTAACTGATGAACAGCTGCTATTATCTCAATACTTTGGATGAGCAAATAAGTTGAAGGTGGGTAAGTAAACTGCTAAAGACCTCACAGCTAATATGCACCAGGAATTGAATTAGAACTCAGTTCTTCTGAGTGTGGGACTTACAATTAAATTCACCCAAAGATGAAGTGTATATTTAAGTTACTTTTTGAGGTATTTGGTAGAAAATATTTTAACCTCATGTGTAAACAGTATTAAATGTCATCTGAAGAACTCAGTAAATAATTGTTTTCTTTTAAAATATAACCACTAGGAGGTCACTTTTTTGGAATGGTGGAGTGAGGACTTCTGTAAACCAACTCCCAGAAAAACAAACATAACTAATAAAAAATAGTAAAAATAACAATCTTTCAAAGTCATGGAAATTGTCTTAAAGGCAAACAGCCAATGAAGAAATATTATTTCAAGAAAATCTAAACCTGGTAAAAGGAATGAGGGTCTGTGGCATCTGAAGTATAACCCACTCCTATCCTCCTCCCTTCCAGTTCAGAGTGATAGTCATTCTACCTCAGATGAGTGCAGCCAAGAACACGGGGTTCCCTCTGCACCCCCCACCACACCTCTAGTTGAGGGCTATGGTATCTCCCAGGGAGGGGCAGGCTTCCAGCATTTCTCGTCTCCTCCCCAACCCCGTGCTACACAGAGACTAAACTCCAGGAAAGTGCACCTGAGAGATCAGGAGTTCCCTTGCTCCATCCAGTCCCTACTCATAAAGCAGAGGCTCTATCTCCGCAACAACATGCCGATAACACTGGGCCCTGATCACCCATATCTCAAGTCACTTATAGGTTGGCTTTTGCAGAACAGGAGCAGTAAGCTGAGAAGACCAGAGGCTACTGCCCATAGCCAGCACCTTGCTCATAAAGCAAGAATGTCACTCTGAGAGAATCAGGCTACTGACCATATCCCCACCTTTGGAGATGTGTCCCAGAGATTTTACCAGAAAAGGCAGTCCATAAGAACAGATAGTTCTCCACAAATGAACTGACTTTATTTGAACCCAAATGTGAGGAAGTTTAAGCCTAAGAGTACTCTTGAAAACAATATAAATTTTGATGGCAAAAAATTAAGAAGAGGCTCATAGTTCCATGAAAGCAATAAACTAAACCATAAGGCAGATAGTTCACCAAGGAGAAACAGGGAAATAGACAGCTAAGATGAGCCTCTTAGGGTCACAGAAAGCCTCAAAGGACTCACCTCACAACCCACCCCTGCAAATGGGCCCAAATTCAATTGAAATCATGCGCTGCAGAACAATTCTTATCTCACAATATTGTCGAAAATAATAGAGAAATCAACCAGAAATCAGTGGAATTAAGAGATGGGTGTGCTAGCAAAAAAGGCTGACAATTTAACAGAGATATGAGAGAAAAAGGCAAAGAGAGCCCTGCTATAACCACTGTCATCCCAGAATGACTGTGCATATGTCCAAGACTGCACTCTGTGAGAATAATATCAGAGATTCACACTGGAGGAAAACATATTTCCCTAAAATAGTCTATCAAGTCACTAAACAAATACTCAAACAACAACAATAAGCTCCCCCATAGGGGTATTAGTATCCAGAATTGCTACAATATATTATCTAAAATGTTCAGTTTTCAATTTAAAAAATTACAAGCCATGCAAAGAAACAGAATTCTGTGATACATACACAAAGGGAAAAAAAGCCAGGCAGCAGAAACTGCCTTTGAGAGGGCCCTGGTGTCAAATTTAAGAAAGACTTCAAAGCAGCCATTATAAAGAAGGTATGGTGACAATCTCTCATCAAGTACAGAATATCCCTACAGAGATAGAAATTATAAAAAAGAACCAAATGAACATTCTGAAGTAGAAAAATAACTGAAAAGAAAAATTCACTAGAGAGCCTCAACAGTAAATCTGAACTGGCAGAAAAAAAAATCAATAAATTTAGAGATTACACGATCTGAAGAACAAAGAGAAAAAGAATAAACAAAAAATAACAGAGCCTCAGAGACAGGTGATATGCCATTGAGTAAACCAAAACACTGTAATGAGAGTACCAAAAGGGGAAGAAAAGAAAAAGAAGGAAAAAAAAATAAGATATAATGGCTGAATATTTGCCCAATTTAATTTTTTGAAAAGCAGAACAAAATATTAAATGACATCCCCCTGAAGGTCAACAAACGTGAGATAAGATTACTAAAAAGAGATCTCCACAAAGAATATCAGTCAAAATACTAAAAGTCAACAGCAAGGAGAAAATCTTAAAAGTAGCAAGAGAAAAATGACTCATCATGTACAAGAGAATTCCAATAACTTTAACAGTTGACTTCTCATCAAGAACAAGAGGCCAGAAAGTAGTGGGATGAGACACACAAAGCACTAAAAGAAGAGAATTGTCAACCAAGAATCCCATACCCAATAAAAGTATCTTTCAAAAATAAAGGTAAAATGTAGACATTCACAGAAAAACAAAAAAATGCACAAGAAAAAAACATTACATTATCTTTTCTTAAAGTGCTCAATTTACGCAGAGAGGGGACCCTCTCTGGATAAACATAACATTGTTACTAGTGGATGTGTGTTATAAGAATTATTAAAGGAAGCTCTTCAGGCAGAAAGTAACCACAAACAGTAATTCAAATTCACAAGAAAAAACAAAGGTCAATAGTAAAGTATAGGTAATTATGAAATTATAACAGCCAGTATAAATGTATATCATCAGACTAAATAAAAATCAAGATGCAACTGTGTGCTGTCTGTAGGAGACACACATTTTAGATCCAATGACACAAATAGATTGAAAGTTAAAGATGAAAAAAGATACATCATATAAATAGCAACCATATGAAATCTGGAGTGCCCACACTACTATTAGAATAAATTTTAAACAAAAAATGTTACTAGAGATAAAGAGGGATATTTTAGAATGATCAAGGCTCAATCTAGCAGGAATATATAACAATTTTAAACATATATGTACCTAACAACAAGGCCCAAAATACATGAAGTAAAAACTGACAAAATTTAA